AAACATTTGCTGAAATTAATTTCAAATCAAAGATTAATCTGAACGAATTTTTGTAAATAATTACAAAAAAAATTAATGCAAATTAATTTCAAGTTTTTCGAAACCAAAATAGGTACTTATTTCGGTTCAGAAATATTTTCAAGAATTTCTAAGAGTGCCATTGGATTCCTCGTAAAAAGTTGCTTCGGGAAACTTAGCCTCTAACTATATCAGTTATACTATGGTGACTTTGAGTTTTTTCTTTTCTGAAAAAAAATATTGAAATCTTCACCAACTATTTGAACTAATTTAGTCTCAAATTAGTTTACATTAATTTTTAACCGAAAATTAATGTAAACTAATTCCCATTTAAATTGGTTTAGATCTAAATTAGTTCCAACGGATTTTTAATTTAAAATTATTGTAAATTAATGCGTTTTCAAATCAATTCAAACCGTTCTAAAATGACAAATTCCTTTAAATTAATGCGGTAGGAAATCGACAACGATAAAGTCTGCAAAAATTAATTCAAATTAATTTTAAGCTGAAAATTGTTTTGAATTAATTTCTATCAGATTAGTGCAAATTGATTTATTACTAAATTGAGTTAAAGGAATTTGAAAAAACATTAATTCAAATTAATTTGCGTTTCAAATTAGTGTAGAGTTTTCGAATTAATGTACACTAATTCGAAGCTCGAAATTCGTGTACATTAATTTAATATGAGACTTTGTATAATGCGGTAACGAGGGAAATTAATTTTTTCACGAAAAAATGAGCTGAAATTAATGCCAGTATTTTCAAATTAATGCGCATTAATCTGAAAGTATATTTTTTTATTTTTTTTTCATTTATTCAAAGATTTAAATTGATGCGCATTAATTTTGAACGCCAAAAAGTTTTTTAAATTAATGTGAACGAATTTCCTTTCAAATTTGTTGAATTCCTTTGAATCTCGAAATTACTGGATTAATTCGAAAGTATTTAAAAGTTCCAATGGGAGGTTTTAGAGAATTATTCTATTTTCTGGTATTTTCAGTTTGCGGCAAATGCAACTTCTGCATCACGCCGAAATGATCCAATTTTAACAATACAATAAAAACAGAGTTATATGCCAGTAGAAACAATCAACGGATGTTAAAGGTTTTAATTTGAGAACCGTTTGTCATCTAATTCTTAAGTATCTTAGTGACGAATGGAATATTCGGTTGAGGAAAAAGTTCGTGCACCGTGTTAAAATAATGATTTTTTATATAGTTTTTTTTGTGCTTTTGATCTGGTTTTGTGGCTATTATGAAAATTTGTTGATTTTTGAAACGCTTGAACCATTTCTGTGCAGTTCGCGGTGCCACCGTACCTTCACCTTCAACGTCGCAAATTGCTTTGGCAGCTGCTTTTGCATCCAAATTCTTNAAACTAAAAAAAACAAAAAATTTACATAAAACCCACAAAACCAGAAAAAAAACAAAAAAAAAAAATATATAAAAAATCATTATTTTAACACGGCGCACGAACTTTTTCCTCAACCTAATACTTTTACCTCCACAAAAATAAGTTTTCTCAATAAATAGTCATTCTTTAAGAGATGTTCAGTGACTATTCGTCGCCATTTTTCTCAAGGACACTTCATATAAAAACAACCAACATTTTGTTATTTAATTGTTAACAAAGAACAGCTTTTAAAGTTATTACTTTTTTGTTTTATAGTGACATAGTGGAAAATCTAACTGGTCGGATACCAACTGCGTTTCATCTTCGGTACTTTACTCTGAAGAGAAATTCACATCAATGGTCTATAGTTTTCAGCACTGTCTATCCGATGTGCATAGCGAAAATATGATCCTCACTCTCACCATCAAAACTCTATATGTCGATATTGATTAAGGCAAATCGCCTGAGTGGCTCACTCTCATGGCTGGCTACTCACCCGTCATTTACTAAGGAAAGTTCGGACTCGTTATAGACAGTCGACGGTACTGAACAGTCAGTTGACTGAAAACAGGAACAGTGGTCATCAGGAAAGTCTGAGTAAAACTGGGTTGCATTTGAGAATGAGTATGCCGGCCAAAAACCTAAGTAGAAGTTTGTACCGAGACCGGAAACGAGCAGACTAGCATCATTTATGTATTGAATTATGTTCATCGATTGTAAAAAAGCCTGTGTGGTAGTTAAAACGAAAAGATCGATGAGCGACTGTGTTTGAGAGTTAAATAAATGCTTTGATTGAACAGTAGCCGTAATGTATTGGCTTGAATGAAAAACAGTCAGATCATCGTTAATCCTCACATTTGTTTTTTGACATAGACCTCTCAAGAACTGGAATAACACTGGACCCGTCCATCGGTAATCGTAGGTGAAAAAGTCCACGTTGCCATGATTAGTTGAATAACTGATCCAATTCAGCGACACAAAATCGCTGCTGCAATACTGATGAAATGTTGGATTGAAACTCATAATTTCGCTATAGCCAACTGATATTGTCTTACATGGACAGGGGTCCGCCACTTCTTTTGGGTGACCAGAATATTATTATTGGGTCCCAATATATTGTATTGGTGCATACCTACCTCTAATGAGAACGATAAATATCTAGCCAATGATACATTCGATGATTGTCTGGTGTGGCGACAATCCTGTTGGCTTGTTGTACCATTAGAATCATGTAGTTGTCAAGTTGGCATGAAAGTATATTCGTGTAAACATTCTGTTGGATTAGCAATTTTATTGAACTTGTATCAAGTTAACGGTAAAACACGTATTTCACCATTAGGTAAACGAAAAGCAAAAGGGCGTCCCAAGAAAGTTATCACAGCTTTAAATTTGTAAATAGGTAAATAGGTATAAATAAAACTGCAAAAGTATTGTTCATTTGTTTAATATTTCAATGAATATGTTATATTGTACATTATATTTTGTTGAGGAATAAAAATGTGAGATTCATGCTGAAAAATTTGGTATATATTGAAAACGTCAAAAGAAAAATGTCGAATAACAGACGTCAGCGGAGAAAAGAATCGAAGAAAAAAAAATCGATGAAAAATATGTCAGAAGAATGGATAATGATGAGCAAAAAGGTATTTTATTTCATTTTATTCTACAAAAAGAAAAAAAAGATGTATTGATAATTAAAGTAAACTATAAAAAAGTAATAAACCGAAGCGACGAAATGGATGAAGATTTTTTTGTGCCCAGTCCGGGTACAAAAAAATCTTTTTACATTTTTGGTGCCCGGTTTGTGTGCGAGAAAATTTAATAGTAGAACTAGAGATGAACATACGTTATTCTGACAAATATCGCTTTGACATACGTCTCTATGTTTGTAATATATGTATGTAAGCATGCTATCGGTTTAATTTTGGTTATTATATTCTAACAGACCAGTAAAATTAGAAACTTTCCAGAAACGACTCTAAAGACCAAGAAAAGTAGGAAATGTGTTGTCTGATGTTTAGCTGTTCTACTCACATATTCACTCTGTTCTTTCTATTTCTGCTACTATCTCAGTAAATAAAGGATGATAATAAGCTGAAATCTTTCTCATTATTATTCTTAATCTAATTAAAAGCGGACACATATCTATCTCCGAGTATAAAAGTCTAAAAGGATTTTTTTGTACCCGTACCGGGTACAAAAAATCTTAAACGGGCACAGATCTGTCTTAATTCCGGGTACAAATAAAGTTAAAGCTCAACGAAATATATAGAAGACCATGAAACAACGCTGTGAAAAAAGACGTCTCTATTTTTCTTTTTCTGTTCTATATATATATCTTGCACATTGAACAAAACTCTTGTCTCTTCTGGTCAGCTGAGAAAGAATGTAAAATGTAAGAAATTATAAATGCTTTTCTTACATTTCCTATCTTTGCTCGATATCTATTCTACAATCTTCGCTCACACAATAACTTATTGAGAACAGTCTACTAGCTAATCAACGAAATTCTAATGAACAATAGAAAATCAAATCAAATCAATATTGTTTAATAACGACATCTTAAAATTTTCGATGTTTTGTATGATCGACATTTTTTTTCTTCGACCAAAGTTGTTTTGGCATTTATTTTCCGACACTTTTTCCTTCGACATTTTTTCTTTCGACGTTTTCATATCTATTCAAAAACTTGGTGATCAAAAGTATCCTTTTTTGATGATCAAAAAAATTGATACCCTTAAATATGTATCAGATGGTAAAATAATAAATTTAATGTCAAATAATGTATCAAAAACATTTCGTCTGGTTCATTAAATCTATTTTTTTATTTATTGGTCCAATCCAAATTACCTTTATTATATGGATCTTGTGGATGAAAAATGATAAAATTACTTTAGTAGCTATTGTATTTATCATGTTACGTATGATTTCTGCTAAATTAACGCAAATACTTTGGTGAATTTTATTTGAGTATAGTAGTTATGGATGGCAGACAAAATAGGAGCAGCAGAAATTGTTGATTGTACGTCTGCATGATTTTATTTATTCTATCGTAGTGTATCAAAACTAAAACAAACAGATCGACGACTACAATTAATGAATGAAGTTTTTAAATCTATTCGATTAATTAAAATGTATACATGGTAAGGAAGAAGCTTTGTTATATTCGAGTAATAATTAAATAGTCTAGACTATTTGACTTCTACACTACCCATAAACTCTATCAGATACAACACTTTCATAGTTGATATACGGAACAAAAAACATTTCTAAAAGAATTCTAAAGAAATTCACTCAGAAGTAAAAAGTAATTTATTTTTGCATCTTACATATCGATAGCACAATGACAGCGCAAAATACTCATATCGTTCACCTGTAAATATGTTGCATACGTAGATTTTTTCTTTTTCTCTCGAAGCACACTCAAATAAATTTGCTTTTATTGAAAAGAAATCAAGTACAATCGTCTAACTGTTTCGCAGTTCCTTTTATGACTTATTTCTTTATTTGACTAACATATATTTCTTGGGAAAAAACCAAGTAATATACAAAGCTCTGCATCTTTCGAACTGTATATTTTAAAAATTCGAATGGCGACAGCAAAAACAGACGGAACTTACTCTTTTCTGACGGGTAGTACAGTGGAAGGTCAAACATATGCGCGTCATTTGGCTAATCAAAATATTCAAGATATTGATATTCTGATCCATAAAGGTACAATACAATCAGAAGAAAGTCTAATTTCGACGTCAGTTCCCGGTTTTCTCCAAATAAAGCGTACGCCAGATGTGGAAGCCAGTGGTAGTACAAAGTTTACATGGGAAAGTAATTCCAGTAGTATCAGTTGTCTCAATGGGTTCCATCTCAAAACCGAACATTGCACAACTGAAACATCGTTTGGTGCACCACTAGCACAAGTAACAATGAGAGGTGATACGTCACGCGATGCATCAGGCGCTTCTGCTGAGCAAACACTTAATTACCGCACAATCGAACTCGACAAACAGTTCCAAGAAGCTTTATTAAATACAGCAAAACAACATGATTTACTAAATTTTGATACGATAAAAGTAAACTATGTATTGTTTTGCCGTGGTGTATCCAATGCGATATCTCAGTATGCTTTACCATTATTTTGCACACCACATCATAAAGAAATGTTTGATGAGCAGAATATAAATGTGCAAACATTTCGAGATTTATTCACGTTGATCGGACCAGCTTATGACTATGATTTGCCGCAGGTAACTCGAGTGCGAATTACGGCTCTACTTGATTTTTATGCTAAATACGAACATGTTGGAAATCCAAAGAATATCATCGATATGGCAGACTATTACAAATCATGCGCGCCAGTAAACGCTGACTTTGTTTCCGCTCTACAACTGAAATTTTGGCCTCGTGACATTCAGCCGTTTCTTAATCGAATAAGAATAAACCGTCCACGGATACACCAGATGATAATGACTAAAACATCGATGCATGTTATTTCAAAATGGTCAACGAAAACACCGTCATGTGATCGAGAACTCGAATTTCGTTATTCTTTCTCAGCAGTTGAGCTCCTTCTTGCCCAACAAAGGTCTAATAATGAACAAGTTTTAAACGGAATTGCACGAAGTATTTATTTTAAACATTTGAAAGGCAAGCAAAACGTTATACCGTCATATTTTATTAAAACAACAATATTGTGGATGTGCGAAACGATGGAGTTGAATGAGGATTCTCCACTGACTCTCGGTCACAAATGGCTGCAATATGCTGGAGAACTGCTGAGAAGGCATGAATGTCCTCACTATTTCATTGCTAATCTTAATATACTTGAGCCATATTCACATGAACTATTAGACAGAGCAAGGAAAATCCTTCAAAATGACGTCAAATTTGATAAGCAGTTAGAAATCGACATATTTACAGCCTCAGGTCAAAAACAATATCGAGATAAATATAATCGAAACATTGCATATTTTCTCAGTAATCTAAAAGCGTCTGATCTCAAGAATGCTCTCCGCGAATATCGTCAATTCAAACATAGTTGGCTTAGTCTATCAGATTCAAATCATCTCATAATAGACGATGATGAAGTAGATATCGGCGAAACCATGAGTATTTTAAATATTTTGCGCGCGTTGGATGGACAAGAAAATGAGAATTGGCAAACATTTCGCGAAATATTCTTAAATCGAAAGGCTTCTCAACCTCCCATATGGGGTGAAACAGTAAATAAAGACAATGCATTTGGTTTTGCTGAATCTCTGATGAGTATGAGTATCATTCTAACAATGATGAACGACCACATTACAAGCTCAAATTTCCTGGCCCAAGGCGCCGTGCGTAATCCACAAGACTTTGAGAATTATCTAAACGTAATTCACAGCTATCTGGATCCAAAAAATCTCTCCACTAGTTTCCAATCAACATACGCCTATTTCTATGATCAACAGGTATCTGCATTTGAACATAGACGTTTGATAGATAATCATCCACTTGGACCACCGATGACAAGTACAAACAACGAGCAAAAAGGTTTTTATGCAATGCTGATGGAGTTGTGTGAAAATGCTCCCAATGAGAATATGACACTGAGAGAATTATACCAGTGGAAAATACAGAATAATATAGACGATGATGAGATGCTGGCAATTGCAATTCAAATGTCTCTAGATGAAGCGAACAAAAAACAATGATAATATTGTTTAAAATACATTTAGTTCACTGCTCAAACTAACTGCTCGACTTGTGATACACAGGGGGCATTTTTCGCTTAGCCAGGATGCAACCGATCAACAGACTAGCCGGTTGATCGGCTCTTTTTCTAAAAAGTTTAACCAGTAAGCGACCGGTACTCGGCTTTTTTGTGAACTCGTCTGGAATAGCAAAAAATACGAATATTTCAAACAGAATAATGAACGAATCGGTATTGTGCCATATAAAAACGCGTAAATCTCTGACAATACGTGTTTCCGAAATATAAATCGCTAAAATTAAGATCCCACGTCTTGCAGAAAGTTTATATCTGCACAAGATGTGTTAAGCTTCTTGATCTCAAATAATGTTCAACAATTCTTGTTCAGGGAAAAAAATACGTAACTTTCGATGCTCTATCTAGCCACGAGGAACATCACGCTCCAGATTCTCTCGTAGTCTCGGGCTATTCGGCTAGAAAAGTCTGAAAAACGCTAAAATTCCCAACTTATTGTCGAGGAAAAACCGCGTTCGGAACAAGGGGGGGAAAGCTGAGTTTTTTGAGATTAAATCAGTTTTACATCAAAAACCTCAAAAACCTCAATTTTCAATCAAATTTACCGAAAATATCGATTTTTACTCAAATTAATCAAAAAATAAAGATTTTTTTCACATAACCATATTTTATTTCCAGCGTAAACTACCAGTAATAACCTCAGAAATAGACACGAATGTAGCGGAGACATGGTAATGCTACTTATTTCTTGCTTCTTTGATTTAAAAAAATTTAAGATTAATATTATGTGAAGGAAAATGAACGAATGATATATGAAATAATGATTACATACACGTGGTTCGAGTGTCTGAGAAGAAATGCTATAGTAATGCCAGGCAGCAGATTAGTCGTTTGTTCGTCTTCTTTCTTTCGTCCTTCTTCTATTG